AGTTTCATGCAAAATATTTTAATAGGTTGTCAAATATACAGTTATATAATTATCTATCACTTATAAAAATTGGTACACCACATTAGATGATTCTATAAAATAAAAACATGAATCACACATTGACAATAACCCCTGCAGTCCAAGAATACCCTGCCAAGAGTACAAATTACAAATACATTTTTTAAAACTCTGATATGGTTTGACTCTGTGTCCTCACCCAAATCTCATCTCCAAATGTAATCCATACACTCCCCCACGTGTTGAAGGCAGGACATAGTGGGAGGTGATTAGATTATGGGGGCAGTTTCCCCTGTACTTTTCTCATGATAGTGAGTGAGTTTTCACAAGATCTGATGGTTTTATAAGGGGCTCTTCTCCCTTAGCTCATTCACTCTCTCTCGTCTGCCACCATGTATGATGTGCCTCTTCTCCTTCCACCATGACTATAAGTTTCCTGAAGCCTCCCCAGCCCTGTGGAACTGTGAATCAATTAAATCACTTTTCTTTATAAATTACCCAGTTTGGGATCTTTATAGCAGTGTGAAAACTAATACGCTAAAGACACATGCGTAAAAAAAGTTTAATTTTTTAAAAAAAAGATGGGGTTTCACCATGTTGGTCAGGCTGGTCTTGAACTCGCGACCTCAGGTGATCAGCCTGCCTTGGCCTCCAAAGTGCTTGGATTACAGGTGTGAGCCACCATGCCCGGCCAACACATCCATTTAAACCAAAGTAACTGTGACTAGACTAAATACATTCATTCATCAAATACAATAAATTTAGCACTGCTGCTTATAGTCACTAACAGCACAATTGTAGGTTCAAGTTCACGTGTTTTCATAAACCTTCCAGTACAGTTTCCATGGCAAAGTATCATTGTGCATGCCATTTTCATTTATATGTAGGTGTATCATACATCATACTTAAGACTATTTCACTTCACAAAGTGTTTATATATAAGCAAACAGTGAGTAAAAAAATTAACCTCAATAATGACAAAATTTAAAAATAAAGAAAATTCCTGAAAGCATATGCTGATTTGTTTAATTGCATATATACTATTTTCACTTAGTAGAAACTATTAGAATAAGCAATGGGAATTTTAAATATTTAAAAAAAAATAGAGGCTCCAAACTGTCCTAAAATATTAACAAGTTTTTAAAGTAATAACATAATAACTCTATAAGTCAAAACTAACTTTCTACTCATTACCAAATTTAAAATATCAGTGATTTGAAGAGCAGATTGAGGCCTAAAATCATGTTAAATTGTAAAATACAGGAAAGAGTGTGCAGCTAATTTGCTTGTGAATATGTAATGGAATGGCTTTCACAGGGTTGTTGTGTTAAACACTACTTTTATTTTTATTTATTTTTATGTATTTATTTAGTTGAGACAGAGTCTCACTCTGTCACCCAGGCTGAAGTGCAGTGGCACAATCTTGGCTCACTACAACCTCTGCCTCCCGAGTTCAAGTGATTCTCCTGCCTCACCTTCTGAGTAGCTGGGACTATAGGCACCTGCCACTATGCCCAGTTAAATTTTGTATTTTTGGTAGAGACTGGGTTTCACCATGTTGGCCAGGCTGGTCTCAAACTCCTGACCTCCAGTGATCTGCCCACCTCAGCTTCCCAAAGTCCTGGGATTACAGGTATGAGCCACCACACTTAGCCATGTTAAATGCTACTTTAAATGAAACCGGGCACGGTGGCTCACACCTGTAATCCCAACACTTTGGGAGGCTGAGGCAGGTGGATCACAAGGTCACAAGATTGAAACTATCCTGGCCAACGTGGTGAAACCCTGTCTCTAAAAATACAAAATTAGCTGGGTGTGGTGGCATGCACCTGTAGTCCCAGCTACTCAGGAGGCTGAGGCAGGAGAATCACTTGAACCAGGGAGGTGGAGGTCGCAGTGAGTCAAGATCATGCCACTGCACTCCAGCCTGGCAACAAAGTGAGACTCCATCTAAAAAAAAAAAAAAAGAAAGAAGACTCTAAATAAACATACCTTTAACAGCAAGGAAAGTGAAAAATTAAGGCTGTTTTACACTACCTGTAACTATTAATACTACTCAAACTTAAAAGTCAAATAGAGGTTACAAGGCTGCAAAATACTAGTTCTGATATCTCTACCATATTGTTAGTTGCTTCATCTCACCTGCATACTTATGTTATTTAGATGCATATTTTTCTACATCTCTATTTTAATTAAGCCCCAGTCCCACCCGAACTAGACAGAATGCTGAAAATGGTCAGGGCCTTATCTGATTGGTTCACAACTGTTACTGGGGAGCTAATGCGTGGCACGTGCTGTAAATTAAAATAAATATTTTTGAATGAACTAAGAAGCCTGGTCTTCAAAGGCAACCCAACTTGTTTTCCCAAAGCATTAATAGATCATTGTTACCTCTTTAGATAACCAGATTGACAATTATTATTATTATTATTATTATTTTAAGACGGAGTCTCAATCTGTCACCCAGGCTGGAGTGCAGTGGCACAATCTTGGCTCACTGAAACCTCTGCCTCCTGGGTTCCAGCGATTCTCCTGCCTTAGCCTCCCAAGTAGCTGGGATTACAGGCATATGCCACCATGCCCGGCTCATTATTTTGTTGTTGTTTTTGTTTTTGTTTTTCTTAGAGGGAGTCTTACTCTGACATTGCCTAGGCTAGAGTGCAGTGGCACAATCTCTAAAAATTTTTCTATTTTTAGTAGAAACAGGGTTTCACTATGTTGGTCAGACTGGTCTCGAACTCCTGACCTCGTAATCTGCCTGCCTCGGCCTCCCAAAGTGCTGGGATTACAGGTGTGAGCCACCACACCCAGCCTAATTTTTGTATTTTTAGTAGAGAGGGGGTTTTGCCATGTTGGCTAGGCTGATCTTGAACCCCTGACCTCAGGTGATCCACCCACCTTGGCCTCCCAAAGTGCTAAGATTACAGGTGTAAGCCGCTGCACCCAGTCAGATTGACAATTATTAAAAAGAAATTGATGTCTTGTAGACTATGAAAACATCATAGGATGTAACAGAAAAGATAACTGAGGCCAGGCACAGTGGCTCACGCCTATAATCCCAGCACTTTGGGAGGCTGAGGCAGGCTGATTGCCTGAGCCTGGAGCCTGGACAACAATGGTGAAAACTTACCTCTTAAAAAAAATTACAAAAATTAGCCCACCATGGTAATGCATGCACCTGTGGTCCTAGCTAGTTGGGAATCTGAGGTGGGAGGACTGCTTGAGCCCGGGAGGCAGAGGTTGCAGTGAGCCGAGACAGCATATTATTGAAATCTAGCCAGGGTGACAGAGCAGAACTCTGTCAAAAAAAAAAAAATCAATGAATATAAATACCTTATTAAACTATTATTCAATTTAAATTTTTATTATAAAAATGTATTATTCACACCCATAACTTTTTTTTTGAGACTGAGTTTTGCTTTTGTTGACCAGGCTGGAGTGCAATGGCGAGATCTCAGCTCACTGCAACCTCTGCCTCCCAGGTTCAAGCAATTCTCCTGCCTTTCAGTAGCTGGGATTACAGGCATGCGTCACCATGCCTGGCTAATTTTGTATTTTTGGTAGAGACAGGGTTTCTCCATGTTGGTCAGGCCCTTTTTTTTTTAGATGGAGTCTTGCTCTGTCACCCAGGCTAGAGTGCAGTGGTGCCATCTCAGCTCACTGCAGCCTCTGCCTCCCGGGTTCAACCAATTCTCCTGCCTCAGCCTCCCAAGTAGCTAGGATTACAGGCATGCACCATTGTGCCTGGCTAATTTTTGTATGTTTAGTATAGACAAGGTTTTGCCATGTTGGCTAGGCTGGTCTCAAACTCCTAACCTCAGGTGATCCACCCATCTTGGCCTTCAATGGTGTTAGGCGTGAGCCACCACATCTGGCCAAAAGTAAAGTTTTTTAAAAAGTATCCCTTAGGCATGGTGACACGTGCCTGTAATCCCAGCTACTCAGGAGGCTGAGGCAGGAGAATTGCCTGAACCTAGGAGGTGGAGGTTGCGGTGAGCCGAGATCGCGCCATCGCACTCCAGCCTGGGTAACAAGAGCAAAACTCCGTCTCAAAAAAAAAAAGTATCCCTTAGTGTAACACTCCAAATTTTTATATAGTTGATTAGACTAAATTATTGATTTTACTTTTTTTTTTTTTTTTAGATAAGAGTCTCACTTTGTTGCCCAGGCTGAAGTACAGTGCCACAATCTCAGCTCATTACACCCTCCACCTCTCAGGTTCAAGCAATTCTCCTGTCTGAGCCTCCTGAGTGGCTAAGACTGCAGGTGCCTACCACTATGCCCAGCTACTTTTTTATTTAGTAGAGACAGGGTTTCACCATATTGGTTAGGTGGTCTTAAACTCCTGACCTCAGGTGATCCACCTGCCTCAGCCTCCCAAAGTGCTGGGATTACAGGCGTGAGCAACCCTGCCCAGCCTGATTTTACTTTTTTATTTATAGCTAAACCATTTATAAGAATGGTGAAAGAAATGCAACTTGATCAAGACAACTTAGAAATAATTAAATAGAAGAGGTGCTTTTTGTAAGATAAACTTCGTTTTGTTAACTTTGCCTAAATTGTCAAAACATTAACAGCTCTCATTTCACCTTTTTTTTTTTTTTGAGACAGAGTCTCACTCTGTCACCCAGGCTGGAGTGCAGTGTCGTAACCTCGGCTCATTGCAACCTCCACCTCCCAGGTTCAAGTAATTTTCCTGCCTGAGCCTCCCGAGTAGCTGGGATTATAGGCATACGCCACCACACCCAGCTAATTTTTGTATTTGTAGTAGAGACAGGTTTTCTCCATGTTGGCCAGACTGCTCTCGAACTCCTGACCTCAAGTGATCTGCCTGCCTCGGCCTCCCAAAGTGTTGGGATTATAGGCATGAACCACCACACCCGCCCATTTCACCTTTTTATGGATTTATATATTGATTTGGGGATGAGGTAATTGATATCATTTGAAAAGTTTGTTTTTTCTTTTTTGAGACAGGGTCTCACCGTGTTGCCCAGGCTGGCCTTGAACTCTTTGACTCAAGGGATCTTCCTGCCTCAGCCTCCAGAGGAGCTGAGACTACAGGCACATGCCACTGCCCCAGGCTGGAGACCTCTTGATAGAGGAAATCTGAAAGACAGAATAAAGAAAAGCAAATAAATAAATAAAAGCTTGTGACTGGTGATTACCCTGAATATCGTGGGGACAAAAAGCTTCTTACAGATGTAGTTTTTAAAAAATCTACATGTTAACTGAATTTTGGCGTATTCTTGGTCTTTTCTAAAAAATGCAAGGAGGGTTAAATACCTGCCATTCTCAAGATTTGTATGTAGCTTGCTCGCCCTCGATACTTGTGTGGTTGAGAGTGCCTGGCTTTGCGTCGGGGAGGAGGGCAGGCCATATACAGCTAGAGAGGCCCGTGGCATGGTGCAGCCTTTACTTACAAGGCTCCACTTCCAGTGCCCTCTCCACAGACTTGCCTTGGCTTCATAGGTCCATACTGCCAAGGCCAAGGGAGAGGTCAGGCTCCTTCAGCGGCTGCAGGACTGCCTGGTGGTTTGACAGGGAGTCACCAGAATAGCTTTCTTACTTCTTTTTTTGAACAAAATCAGAGTATTATTTATACAGGCAAACATACACATAGACAGTATTATTGGCAATAGACATGGCTGATTCATATTTGAATTTTGAAACAAACTGTCTTTTTAAAAAATCTTATCTGTATTTTTTTCTTTAACTTTTCTTTTAAGTTCTAGGGTACAAGTACATGGTGTGCAAGTTTGTTACATGAGCTTTGTGTCTTAAACTGAAGTGTATTGGCACCAATGCTGAGGTTTGATCTAAGCACTCCTTGGCTAGGGAACTCAGCATACTAGGAAAAGTCAAACAATAAAATGCTCTGTGTCTCATCATAGCAGCAGGTATGCTCCGCCTAAAGCAAACCTACTGGACATGACTACAGTGAGCTACAAAGTGTGAGATGGCATTTTCTGTGCAGGATGTACGTTCTCCAGGGTCCAGACATGAAAGAAAGCAAATCAGTTCTTTGACGGCCCCACCTCTTTCAGCACGATCCCTGGGATCTCATGAGAGGGATGGGGGAAGTGGAGGGAGAACAGCTCCTCCAAGGCCTCTCCCAGGGTGACTGGGGCTCCAGATATAGCTCAGTACAGACCCTGGATCCAGCCCTCATGGCCAAGTTCGATTTACTATGGGCTGGGATGGGACAGAGAGCTTTTTAAACTTAAAAAAAAAAAAAGCAAGCATAATTACATATAAAATGCACAGATCTAAGTGTACAGTTTAAGTTTTAACAAATCTCTAAACCTGTGTAACCAGCACCACAGTCAGTATAGAGTATTTCTGCCCCCTAGAAAGTGCTCTCTTGTCTCTTTTTAGAATCCCTCCTTTCCAGACCCTCCCCTCATACCCAGACAACAACTCTTTGATTGCCACCAACAGGGAAGGTTTTTTCGTTTTTTTTGTTTTTGAGATGGAGTTTAGCTCTTGTTGCCCAGCCTGGAGTGCAATGGTGCAATCTCGGCTAACCACAACCTCCACCTCCCAGGTTCAAGCAATTCTCCTGCCTCAGCCTCCAGAGGAGCTGGGATTACAGGCATGCACCATCATGCCCAGCTAATTTTGTATTTCTCCATGTTGGTCAGGCTGGTTTCAAAATCCCAACCTCAGGTGATCAGCCTACCTCGGCTTCCCAAAGTGCTGGGATTATAGGCAGGAGTCACCATGCCTGGCTGAAAGGTTTTACTTAAAGGAGCAATAGGAGAAAACTGAGTTCTGTATAAAATAAAAGATCTCTAAGTGGTAAACGGGTTATTTGATGAGGTAAAGTTGTTTAGTGAGAAGAAAGAAAAGACCTTTAAAAGTAAAGCCAGGCCGGGCGCGGTGGCTCAAGCCTGTAGTCCCAGCACTTTGGGAGGCCGAGGCAGGTGGATCACAAGGTCAAGAGATCGAGACCATCCTGGTCAACATGGTGAAACCCCGTCTCTACTAAAAAATATATACAAAAAATTAGCGGGGCATGGTGGTGCGTGCCTGTAATCCCAGCTACTCAGGAGGCTGAGGCAGGACATTGGCTTGAACTTGGGAGGTGGAGATTGCAGTGACCCAAGATTGAGCCACCACACTCCAGCCTGAGTGATAGAGACTCCATCTCAAGAAAAAAAAAAAAAAAAAGGAATGCCAAATTGCATTCATGGCATACTGTGACTGCCTGTCTACCTGTAACATGAACTGTATCAGGTTTGGGGATCTGGGAGATGAGCAGGGCCCAGGCCAAACACAGCTCTACAGCTACGGCCTTGCTTTCCAGAGTACAGTTAGGAGAGAGGAAGAGGCACACCAAGGCAGGGATGACTGAGGGAAAATGAAAGAGCGAGAGAGAAAAAAATTGCTTTGTTTTGTTTTTGGTTCTAGACAGCGTATTGCTCTGTGGCCCAGGCTGAAGTGCAGTGGCTCCATCATGGCTCACTGCAACCTGAACCTGCTGGGCTCAAGTGATCTTCCTGCCTCAGCTGTCCAAGCAGCTTGGACAATAGGCATGTGCCATCATGCCTGGCTAATTTTTTTTTTTACTATTTTATGGGGTCTCACTATGTCGCTCAGACTGGTCTCAAACTCCTGGGTGCAAGCGACCCTCTTACCTCAGTTGCCTGAGTAGCTGGAACTACAGGTACAAGTCACTGCACTCAGTTCTCAACATTATGTTTAATCCTTAAAGTGCAAGCCTAGCTGTCCCCAGCACAGCAGTGCCTCTCCATTTTTCACTGATGATAGTTATGATTACTATAATAGCTTCATATCTGCATAAGGATGTACCGGTCATGAACATTCTTTTTTTTTATTTTTTATTTTTTCTAAGATGGGGTTTCATTCACTCTTGTTGCCCAGGCTGGAGTGCAATGGCGCAATCTCAGCTCACCACAACCTCCGCCTCCTGGGTTCAAGCAGTTCTCTTGCCTCAGCCTCCCAAGTAGCTGGGATTACAGGCATGCGCCACCATGCCCAGCTAATTTTGTATTTTTAGTAGAGACAGGGTTTCACCATGTTGGTCAGGATGGTCTCGATCTCCTGACCTCGTGATCCACCTGCCTCAGCCTCCCAAAATGCTGGGATTATGGGTGTGAGCCACCAGGCCTGGCCTGGTCATGAACATGCTGAAGTACATCCTTCTCACTTTCTCCTCATCCTCATACCCTTGGGAAGGAAGGAAATTAACATTTCAATGAATTTGTCTTGTATGAGTAAACCAGAGCTCAGAGGTTGAGTTTTTCAGTAATAAGGTCTTTCAGTAATAAGGAGGCAAAGTCGAGCTGAAAAAGTCTAACCCTGAATCTGGTGTTATTTCCATCACATGACCCTAAAAAAACACCACTAGAAAGCTTTAAGTCAGCAGAAACAACATTCAAGTCCCTCAGCTACACAACTATGGCCACACTGACACTCATGCAGGTAGCTGCTATTTACCAGTAGAAAGCTGGGCTGCTGCAGGTGAGGAAACACCATAGCAGCCTGCAATGGAGAGTCAAAACTGGCCTTCTTAGTAATCCACTGTGGAAAAACAAAGATGAAATCTCAACATTCACAACACAACAGAATCTTTTTATTTTTTAGAGACAAGGTCAACCTCAAACTCCTGGCTCAAGCAATCCTCCCACCTCAGTCACCCGAGCAGCTAGGACTGCAAGTATACACCAACACACCCAGCTAATTTGCTGTTTTTGTAGAGATGGGGTCTTGCTATGTGGCCCAGGCTGGTGTAGAATTCCTGACCTCAGGCAATCCTCCCACCTCAGCCTCCCAAAGTGCTGAGAGTACAGGTGTAAGCCACTGTACCTCGTCCTAACAAAATTATACAGTTTCACAATGCCCAGGAAAACATTTGTGTAACTCAGAACATATACTACACTGCCAATTGCCATGTTTTATTTATTTTTGTTTTTATTTTTTTAGATACAGAGTCTTGCTCTGTTACCCAGGCTAGAATGCAGTGGCATGATCACAGCTCACTGCAACCTCAAACTCCTGGGCTCACATGATTTTCCTGCCTCAGCCTCCCAAGCAGCTGCAATGCAATGGCATGATCATGGCTCACTGTAGCCTCAACCTGGGCTGACGCAATCCTCCCACCTCAGCCTCCTTAGTAGCTGGGACTACAGATACATGCCACCATGCCCAACTAAGTGTGTGTGTGTGTGTGCACGTGTGTGTATATAGAGATGAGGTCTTGCTGTGTTGGCCAGGCTGGTCTTGAATTCCTAGGCTCAAGCAATCCTCCCATTCAACCTCCCAAAGTGCTAGGATTGCAGGCAGGAGTTACTGTGCCTGACCAGCAATTCCCATGTTTTATAGAAAGACCATTCTCATGTAGCCCACAGTGGCCAGCTTCAGAGCCAAGTTTGTAGTGGCGAATCCTCAGTAATACTTGTATAGCACTTGCTGTATGACAGGTCTTGCTCTAAGGGCTCTCCATATATTTCCTCATTTCATCCTCAGCAGTAGGCAGAATTCTAAGGATAGCCACCCAAGATTCCTGTCCCCTGGTGGTTCAGTGAAATACTCATCTAGGTACTGCTATGAAGGCATTCTGCTGATACAATTAGAGTCCTAAGTTAGTGGACCTTAAATTACAGAGTAGTCCCCAGCTAACAGCCAGCAAGGAAACAGAGACCTTAGTTCTAGAACTCCAAGGAACTCGATTCTGCCAGCAACCTAGCCTTGAAGCAGCTTCTTCCCTAGAGCTTCCAGGTAAAAGCAAAGCTGCCAACACCTTGAGTTCAGTCTTGTGATGTGCAGCTGGGCCTACCTGGACTTCAGACTCCATAACTGTGAGATACTAAATGGGTACTGGTTTAAGACTTAGGTCTGTCAAACAAGAATAGGAAAACCATCCTCAAATACAGATGTATCAAAGTACAGGTCAGTACAGATGAGGGAAAGGCAGAAAGGGAGTAAGTCACTTACCCCACCCAGCTAGTAAACAGCAGAACCAAGATTCAAATACAAAGAGGGCCTCACTAGAGGCCCTCTCCTAGATGAGGGCAAATCCCCTCCAGAATCCCCTCCATATTACTGGGTTTTGTTGTTTAGTGAGAAGAAAGAGAAAGCCTTTTAAAAGTAAAGCCAGATTTACTCTGTGTAAATCTGTGCTCTACATAATGATTGGAGCTCCACCAAGGGAGCTTTTGAATGAACCATAGGAAAACTAGGATCAGCTCTCCAGATTCCCACCTCTCCACCCACCCAGGTCAGAAATGAAAAATGCTCAGACTCAGACTGCGCAGACAGGAAGTCAGCCAAGTCCCACTGGTGGGCTAGTGTCAGCTTTCCTGGCCCAGCTCTGCCTGCTGCACAAGTAAAGGCACGGGGTGGCACCTGGCAGTCTATGTGGAGGAAGAGAGGCTGGGTGTAAAGAGGCCGTGTAGGGAGTTGGGAGGGGTGAGACAGGAAGCTCTGGCACCTGGCAACAAGAACATCTCTCAGGTTTTTTCAATTCTTTTTTTTTAGACAAAGTCTTGCTCTTTTACCAGATGCCAGGCTGGAGTGCAGTGGTGATCTTGGCTCACTGCAACCTCCTCTTCCCGGCTTCAAGCAATTCTCTTGCCTCAGCCTCCCGAGTAGCTGGGACTACAAGTATGTGCCACTACACTCAGCTCATTTTTTTGCATTTTAGTAGAGAGGGGGTTTCACTATGTTAGTCAGGATGGGCTCGATCTCTTAACCTCGTGATCCACCCAACTCGGCCTCCCAAAGTGCTGGGATTACAGGTGTGAGCCACCGCACCTGGCCGGTTTTTTCTATTCTTAGCCTGCCTATCAAGTTCAGTGTTAAGGAAAACTTAAAACATTTCAGTGTGGATGCACTTGGTCAAGAAAATACTGTACACTACTTCAAAATGATCAGAGCAGCACAAAGTCAGGGACTGTTTAAGTCCAGAGCTTTCTCTGAAGTGAGAGCATCTCTGCTCACAGGAAGCTCTCATAGGCAGCGATCGAAAGACTGAGACCCTAGGCTGGGCACAGTGGCTCACACCTGTAATCCCAGCACTTTGGGAGGCTGAGGCAGGCAGATTACCAGAGGCTGGAGTTCGAGGGCCTGACCAACATGGAGAAACCCCATCTCTACTAAAAATACAAAATTAGCCGGGCGTGATGGCACATGCCTGTAATCCCAGCTACTCGGGAGGCTGAGGCAGGAGAATCGCTTGAACCAGGAGGCGGAGGTTGCAGTGAGCCGAGATGGCACCATTGCATTCCAGCCTGGGCAACAGGAGTGAAAATCCATCTCAAAAAAAAAAATAAGGAAGAAAACAAAGACTGAGGCCCAGAGGAATTTCCAAGAGGAAATTCAAACCCAGGAGTTTCCAAGAAAGGTCAGCGTCTCCTACACACGCTCTCTGACCCTGCCATGGCCACACTCCCGCATCACACCCCTCTGTGTGCCAGGCACCCAGCGTCCACTTCATCTCGCCTCTTCAACACCCACTTTCTTCAGGAGCTGCTTCAGAAGCCATTTTGGGGTTTCCTTCCGAGAGCAATAGCCTTCGGGCAATGCCAATCATTCCAAGTAAATCCTGTCACTGCCAAGACCTCCCCCGAGCAGCAGCAGCAGCCCAGCTGTCCTGTCTATTGGGAATCGGGACCTTCCCATCACAGATGAGAAGACCGAGGCTTGGAGACGTCGAGCATACAGCGGGAAGAGTAGAGCTGGGACCCACACTCGACTCTTCTTCCCACAGCACCTGTTGAGCCCAAGGCTCAACTTCCACACGAAGCTCTCCTTCCCTCGGTTCCTTCAACCAACGTTAACCTTCAACAAGAGCCGCGCAGGAAGGTGGCACAAAGGCATGGCCCAGGAGGGCGGCACGAGGACTCAACTGGGGCCCTTGCCTCCCAAGCCCGCCCGGTCGGGGCGGAGTGGCCGGGGCTGTCCAAGTCCCTGGACTCGCGGAGGAATGGAGACGGCCTCGGCAGGGACTCGGGAAAGCCGACCCACGCGCGCCCCCTGCCACACACCTGTGGGACCCATAGCATTACCCGCCTCTGAGCTGGAAGCCGCTATTCGGCCATCCAGTGCCGAAATGTCGTCATGAAGCTGCGTGGGCGTCACGCGGGAAAAGCGCCTCTGCCTCTTCAGGACGCTACGTCAAAAGGCGCGTGCCCAACGCGAAGGCCGCCGGGTGGCGGAGGGGAGGTGGCGAGGGAGGAGTGCGGGGGAGGGGGTAGTCCGCCGCTGAATGCGCCTGCGTAGTGGCAGCCTCCGCTCCCCCTACCGTTGAGCTCATGTACCTTCTCTCTAGCAAGGAGTGCACGTGCGCGTAAGCAGGGTCAGTTGATTAGGGCCGCCTTGGAGCGCCCCCTAGTGGGGCACCGGCGCGGATAAAACAATTGCACGCTTTCTTGCAACAGGCATTTAGCGCTCAATGTATGCCTGGCACTGGGCTGGGTGCTGCCACCTAAGCAAATATGACCAATGCTCGACCAGGGCCTCTATCAGGGAGGCCCTGATCACCAACGAGCGGGCCCCCTCTGTGGGCCACGGCCGTCTAGGAGGCCGGGCACAAGCGCTGCAGGGAAAGGGAACAGGCGCAGCCGCTAGGGGGCGTGGTGGGAGCGCGGCGCGGCGGGGCGCACCTTTCCGCTGGTGCTTGGGGCTTGGGGGCGCGGGGTCGCAGAGCTCAGGTCCTGGGCGGAGGCCCGCTGCGCCCCCGGGGCTGGAGCTGGCGGGCAGAAGCTCTCACTGCAGCGGTAAAAGGTGCTGAGCGCTGAGGAAACTGAGCTGTACGAGCTGGCCCAGGCGGCGGGCAGAGCCATCGACCCCGACGAGTTCAAGTGAGCGGGGCTGGTGGGGTCGCGCGCCCTCCGGAAGCCCCCACCTCTGCTCTCGCTGTCAGCTTGCTGGTCCGGAGGAGCCTCCCGCCCTCGCCTGGCGAGGAGCGTTCACCCGCCCCGCGTCTGTCCCCGCCAGGATCTTGGTGGACCTGCTGAAGGTGAACGTGGCCCCCTCTGCCCATCTTCGAGATGCTCAAGTCGGTGTGTGCCAGGTAGAGACTGGCGAACGAGCCCCAGGATTCTGCGGCCGCGTCTCTGCTCACGTCGAGTGTGTCTGAGACCCGAGGCAGAGCCGGGCCCGCTGTCCCTGCCCCGGTGGCAGGGGTGGTGGGGCGGGGAGGGGCAGGCGCTGCACAGCGGCGGCTTGGCCCTGAGCTTTGACCACGCTTGTCTGTCCGTCTCTGCCCAGCACCTGCAGGGCCCATCCGTGGGCTCTGCTCCCTGGCCTCGCTGCTATCTTTAGGAGGCATGTCCAGGCCAGGTAGACGCAGAGTGGGTGCCCCAGGGTGGTCCAGGTGGTCTAGGCCGCCTCCGCCTCTTCCCACCTCTTCACTCATGCCTCCATTCCACAAAGTCAGGAATCAAGACGGCCTTGGGCTGAGGGCGGTGGCTCACGCCTATAATCTCAGCACTTTGGGAGGCCAAGGCAGGAAGATCGTTTGAGCCCATGAGTTTGAGACCAGTCTGGGTGGCAAAGTGAGACCCTGTCTGTGAAAAAAAAAAAAAAAAAAAAAAAATTTAATGATAGTTTTGGAGGGCAGTGGCTCATGCCTATAATCCCAGCACTTTGGGAGGCCAAGGCGGGCGGATCACTTGGTCAGTAGTTCGAGACCAGCCTGGCCAATATAACGAAACCCCATCTCTACTAAAAATATAAAAAATAGCTGGGTGTGGTGGTGGGCGCCTGTAATCCCAGCTACTCAGGTGGCTGAGGCAGGAGAATCGCTTGAATCCAGCAGGCAGAGGTTGCAGTGAGCAGAGATTGGGCCATTGTACTCCAACCTGGGCAACAGAGCGAGACTCTATCTCAAAAAAAAAAAAAAAAATGACAGTTTAGGGTCCAGCTCGGTGGCTCACACCTGTAATCCCAGCACTTTGGGAGGCCAAGGCGGGTTTATCATTTGAGGTCAGGAGTTCAAGACCAGCCTGGCCAACATGGTAAAACCCCATCTCTACTGAAAAAACAGCCGGGCGCGGTGGCTCATGCCTGTGATCCCAGCACTTTGGGAGGCCGAGGCGGGTGGATCACGAGGTCAACAGATCGAGACCATCCTGGTCAACATGGTGAAACCCCGTCTCTACTAAAGATACAAAAAATTAGCTGGGCATGGTGGCGCATGCCTGTAATCCCAGCTACTCGGGAGGCTGAGGCAGTAGAATTGCCTGAACCCGGGAGGCGGAGGTTGCGGTGAGCCGAGATCGCGCCATTGCACTTCAGCCTGGGTAACAAGAGCGAAACTCCGTCTCAAAAAAGAAAAGAAAATCCAAAAATTAGCTGGGGATGGTGGCACATGCATGTAGTCCCAGCTACCGTGGAGGCTGAGGCAGGAGAATCACTTGAACCCGGGAGGTGGAGGTTGCAGTGAGCTGAGATCACACTATTACACTACAGCCTGGGTGACAGGGTGAGACTCCTCTCAAAACAAAACAAAACACTAAAAAAAAAAACAAAAACAGTTTTGGTCCCTGTCCTGTGGCTTTAAGCCTCCAGGGAAGTGCCCAGGGAATAAGGAAGGCAGAGGTCTTCCTGCCATCCCCTGCCTGTACCCCACCTGGGCCCAGGTCCTGTGCAGGGGCTTGGTCAGCCCTGACTGGCTTCCCTCTCAAAATTGCAGGATGGGAGTCAGAGGCAGAACTCCCAGGTTACAGAGGCCTGCAGGGTCTGAAGGGCCTCCTATCTCTCCAGATTGGTAACTGGGGCTGAGCAGGTGCTGAGGCTGAGTGTGTGTGGTGGAGCCTGAGTCCCTGCTCATTCTCCCCACATGTTGCTTCTGCTCAGAATAGCTCTCTCTGAAATGCCTCAGAACCTCCCATTGGAAGGAGGTGCAGAGCTGGCTCCCTGCCTAGCAGCAGGAGAAGGGGAAGGCATCCTGGGAAGGGGAGGAGAGCAGGCTGCCCTTATGGGGACATGGTCTGGGTACCCACTCCCCCTGCCCCGAGAGGCCCCAGGCATCTGCACCCTAGCAGATGTGTCTTTCTCTGACTTCCAGAGGCCTCCTTTCTCTCTGCCAGGAACAGTAGCTCCCCTGCAAGGCCCTCTTTTTCCTTGGCCTGGGGCCTCTCCAGTTCTGCCCCACAGCCTGACTGCCATGCACTCACCTTCCTCTCCAGCCCCACCCCACCCCATTCCCTCCGCCTCTCTTGCTGTCTGTTGTTTCACAGATCCTGTTCGTTGGCTTATCTTTTGGGGTTGGTGCCCTCCCTTCTTTCCATGGAAAGTGCCTGACCCCAGGAGGCAGGAGAAGCTTTAAGTTGCAAGGGCGGGACCATGTAGGCCATCACTGCCCTGCGGGCCTGAGCTCTGAGTGGCAGTGAGGTTGGCACTGTGGGGAGGGGCATGCAAGAGGTGCAACCAGAGCCCCAGGGCAAGATTCCCAGCAGCACAAGATTCTTGGCTCTGTTTATTAGAGATATGGTATGGCAGTGGTTCTAGAAGCCACAGCTGGGCTGGCACCCGGAGACAGGATCAACATCCCACACCCCAGAGGTGAACTGTGGTGAGTGAGACTTGTGCCCTGTAAAGAATGCCCACTCCAGGAAGGACTGCAGGCTGAGGGGTAGTGTGCTGTGCTGGAGACCACAGCCCCAGGCATGACAAACACCTCAGCCTCTTAGAAGCTGTCCCCTACCCAGACAGGAAGTCTGGGGGCTGAAACAGAGGCTCCACCTTCCCCAAGCCTCCTGGGCAGTGCCACACGTATGCTGTGTGCTGGTCCCATGGCCACACTCCAGCCCCTTTATTCACCTCACTTCTGAGTTAGAGCCACCTTCCAGGGTCACCAGGTGTAACGAGGCCAGGACCCCAGAGCCAGGGGCCAATGAGAGTCCGGGGACTCTGGTCACACCTCCTGCATGCCCCTCCCCACAGTGCCCACCTCACTGCCACCCAGAATTCAGGCCCAAGGGAGGGTGGGGAGGGGCTGAGGGACAGCCCGGTGGGGGGCTGCATGGAGTGCAGGCTGAGATGAGCAACTGAAGGGCAGGTTTCCAGGGGGAGGAAGAAACTGGGAAAAGAGTCTTTGTCACTCCAGGGGATGTTGCCACTCACTCAGGGACTCTGGGTGCGAGGCTGGCTCTCAGTGCAGAGGGTGTGGCAGGAAAGTGAGATGACCACACTCAGTCCAGTGAGAGGTGGCAAGAAAAACCACCAGTGATGGAGACGGGAGAAGGCTCCTGAGCCAGGGGAGCAGTAAAGGCTATAGAAGGCGGGCCGGGAGGGCTCAGCAGGGCCCTGAAGGTATGAGCTGGGGCGGTGGGAGAGGGTGGGCGAGGCAGAGAGCTATCTAGGTGCTGGTGGGCCCAGGCCAGGAGGAGGGAGGTGGCAGGACACAGTCAAGATGTATTCGGGGGGCTGGGTACAATGGCTCGCGCCTGTAATCCTAGCACTTTGGAAGGCTGAGGCAGGCAGATCACCTGAGGTCTGGAGTTAGAGACCAGTCTGGCCAACATGGCAAACCCCATCTCTACAAAAAAAAAAAAAAAAATTAGCCAGGTGTTGTGGTGTATGCCTATGCTACTCGGGAGGATAAGGCACGAGAATCACTTGAACATCGGAGCCAGAGATTGTAGTGAGCTGAGATTACACCACTGCGCTCAGAGTGAGACTGTCTCAAAACAAAAAAACAAACAAACACTGCTCTGGGCACGTGCTTGCCAGCCCCAGTCTCACTGAAGAACATGTTGAAGGAGTCATCCCCACCACCGACGGTTTTGTCACTTGGCATTTGACCATCAGGCTGAATTCCATGTTCAAGGAACTACAGTTCCCAGCAGGCATTGCCGATCTGGACAGCCGCCTGCCCCATGTGGACAGAGATACCCTCGTGCTGTGAACCAGAACATAAACATGAACTCGTTCATTTTAAGACAATCTGAAGGCCGGGCGCGGTGGCTCAAGCCTGTAATCCCAGCACTTTGGGAGGCCGAGACGGGTGGATCACGAGGTCGAGAGATCGAGACCATTCTGGTCAACATGGTGAAACCCCGTCTCTACTAAAAATACAAAAAATTAGCTGGGCACGGTGGCGTGTGCCTGTAATCCCAACTACTCGGGAGGCTGAGGCAGGGGAATTGCCTGAGCCCAGGAGGCAGAGGTTGCGGTGAGCCGAGATCGCGCCATTGCACTCCAGCCTGGGTAACAAGAGCAAAACTCCGTCTCGAAAAAAAAAAAAAAAAAAAGACAATCTGAAACTCTATGGCATGCGAAATATTCTAATTTAATATTTTTCTAGTGCTCCAGTGTCTGGGGCTTTCACAATTGATATTTCCCAGGAGATGTAGGTGACCGATCCCTCTATCCCTTTGAAAACTAACTTGCTAAACCATCCTAGCTACTAAGTGCCAGAGGTAGCCCTAGAACCTAATGTTTGCCACTACACAAAAATAAAGTTACTTTAAAACTTGCAAGCCATGTAATATCCATAATCAACCCCAGATTACAGCCATTCACAGTAATTCTCTTCAGAATAGACAGCAGTTTTCTATTATATCCTGACCAAAGGATAAGGTAGTCGGTTTGACTAAGGAAATACAGTCAGTCCCGGGTTACCATGGCCCAAACCCAGA